TCCTTTGTGGGCGGCCTACCTAGTGACTCTTTTTTAAAAGATTGGCCTACACCTAGTGACTTTACTAGTTGCAACAATATTGCGTGCACGACCCAAAGGTTGCAACCAGATTTATTTTCTACTGCTTGGATTTGGACTCCCTACGAGCGTGATGCAATTCATATCCAATGGGCATGATCAGAGGAGGCGTATTTTTCTCGCTCTCACCGGTTGACACCCAGAGGGTGATGCAAGATTAACAGCCGTAATTTTGTAGACGACCTCCAAATCTCTCTGTCATTGTTGCCCTTAATCTAAGAAGCCTCTCGCGTGCACGACCCAAATGCTGCAACCATCAGATTTACTTTGCACTGATTGGACGCCGTACGATCGTGATGTAAGTCATATCCAACGGGCAGAGAGGAGGTTTATTTTCCCGCTCCAGCTGGCTCATTTGAGATCGATCGTTGTTGACACCTAGCGCTGGCCTAGCATATCATCACAATGCACTCCAAATTCGTTAGCGACACATGTTAATAAGCAATAAAAAGTTAAACGTGATTGAAGGAATGAGGGTGACCGGCTGGGCCAGCGCTGCGTGCACGCGCACACATGCATTTGCGAAATGATCATCGACACGACACACGACTAGGTACAAGAAAAAGACACGTACTACCAATCATGTGAGCAGGCGATCGGGTCTTGTAAGATTCAGCTACCTCATCACTGTCAACTTAAATTCAATCTCATCCGCCATTCCAACACTGTCAACGGAGTACTGTGCGTGCATGAGCATGAGCTTACTATACTCACATAGGCGGCCAGACTTAGTCCACGAAAGATTTTTCAAGAACTAAATAATGGCCATTGATGTATGTACGTACCCAACTAGTTGTCGACGAGAAGTCCAACAAGTTTCCAATTTTGTGTATAAAATATATAAATGAAAATCTGGCACGACAGCAGCCTCTATCATCTACTCATCGTTATGGATCATGGAATGCTAAGAGCATCTCCAGCCGCGCCCTCAGAACGGCCTCTCCATGCGTTTTATTTACGCCGGCGTCGAAAAAACGGTCCAGTCGCGCCCCAGGACGCTGAATTTCGCCGGCTCGGTCCGTTTTTGCGCCCGGCGCTCGCAGGCCGAACCCGGCGTACTGGGGGCGCTCGGGGGCTCCGGCGCAAGGGAAAAGCGTTCCTGGAGCCACATTTGCAGGCGAAAAGTCAAGCGCCCCCGCCCAGATTCGCGTCCTACCCCCTGCGCTCGGCCGCCACCTTGCACCATCCTGCCGATCCCGGCGCCGTCCACCGCCCACCGCAGCTAGGGAGACCATCTCCCGGCGGGAAAGAGAAGGGGTTTCGCCGAGGCAGCCTCTTCGCCGCCGTCCGGGCACCTTTTCCGGCGTTTCGGTCGCAAGGTCTGTAACACCGGCGGGATTGCGCCCACCTCGCCCACAAGGTGTTCGGTAAATTGCCCGGCCCGGCGATGGACTCCGAAGATGAGGAGGCGCTCGCGGCGTTGCTGGATGAGGAAGCCGAAGCCGACGTCCAGGAGCAGGAGCATCTCATGGTGCTCGCCGCCCTCGCTGGCCTGCTAGCGAGCAGTGAAAAGCCGTGCCGAGGTGGCTCAGCGCTTGGGCGGGTGAAAGCAAAGAACCGGCATCGTCTGGAAGGCTACTGCATGCTCTACTCGGACTACTTTGCCGACGCTCCATTGGTCGGTGAGAAAACATTTCGGCGCCGTTATCGGATGAGCCGAAAGCTTTTCCTCCGGATTGTGAATTCCATCTGGGAGTTCGACAGCTACTTCAAGTGCAAGAAGGATTGCACCGGCGCACTTGGATTCATCTCGATCCAGAAGTGCACAACAGCTATGAGGATGCTTGCATACGGAGCTCCCGGT